GAGACACGGTTAAGCGTTTTGCATTTTGAATAATTTTAAAAAGTTTAAATTTGTTCAGTATTGAACGGCAGAAATTAGGTTTTCTTTTCGGAAGAATGTAAAAGGGAAAAAAACAGCGGCCGACAGCCTGTAAGCAACAGTAGACTTGTGTAACAAGCAAGCGAATAATGAAGAAAGGGAAACTGTTCTTGAAGTACAGAGAGAGAGAGCGAGCTGTGCATGGCAGTGGAAGCAAAACAGCAAAAGTCAGAGTGAATTCTTCTTCTGCTGCTGGTTCGGTCAATATTGTTTGGAGAGAGATCAAACTAACAGCTTTAGAATCGGCTCATAAAGGACGTGAACACAAAGCGCCGAAACATCAGAATCAGCGAGCTGTCGGCTTTCAGCCCCGACCGTGAGAAAGGCGACATCTCACTGATTCTGATCCGCGGGTCGCGCTGTGTGTTTAAGTCTATGTGCAGAATCCGTGTTCCTGCTCTCATTTACTGTCTTAACTGTTTGGTGGTTCTTGAAATTTTGTGAGATGTCACCAGAGATTCTGGCATTTCGGGCAAAATAAATTTATATTAAAAAAATCGATTCAGGATTTTAATGAATCGATTTTACGTTATCCAAGCCAGAATCAATTTTAATCGATGAATCGATTATAAAAACCCTCCCCTAATTATAACTGTCTTGTGGCTTTGGTTAAACAGTCAGGCAGTGAAGAAAATGAAATAAAAGAGGACATAATTTTAAAGCTAACAGCTGCCACTAAGTTTCCTAAATGGTCTTTAAAACTGCAGGCAGCACAGTCAGCACTGTTGCCTCACTGCAAGAGTGTCCTGGACTTGAATCTGCCAGCTGGGAGGGAGAAGCTTGCGTGGGTTCTCCCAGGGTACTCTGGCTTCCTCCCATAGCCCAAAGACATGCACACTAGGTTAATTGGGAATAGTAAACTGACTGAGTGTGAATGGCTCTCTTGTGTGACAAACTGGTACCTGCGACCTGGCTTTCACCCTATAACAGCTGGGATCCAGCCCCACTGTGACACTGACATGAAAGAAAAGTGGAAGAATATGTATGGATGGACGATCAAAACTCACAGGGAAAAACTGAATATTATTTTTATGGCATAGACACAATACACAAAACATAACATGAAGTACAATACCGCCAACTAAAACTAAACCAGTATAGATGTATGGTCAGCTTGAAATTCGTAGTGCAGTTTACAGTGTTGCTGTATTACATTATGCTGGCAAGTCATTTTTTCATATTAGTTTATTTTTATGTAAACTAACTACTATTTTTACGTGTCATTGATGTTAGGAAAAGCGCTTTATAAATCCAATCCATTATTATTATTTTTATTTTTATTGTTATGAGCTGGAAATGTGGAAAAGTCTGTATACTCGTTTTTGTTGATTCCCTTTAAATAGAGTTTAGAATGGATACTTGGCTTTATAATGTGTGTGTGTTTAGCTTACTACCATCTGAATAGTTGATCTTCCCTTGCCTGCCCATTTTATTTCACTTCATTTGAATCACTGAACAAATCAGAGGTGTGGGTGGTGATGAGCTCTGGAACCAGGCTACATTTTCCCTACAATCAGTACTAAATTACACAGTGAAACAGACTCTGTGTTCCAAGAAATACAGAAAGTGAAAATGTTCCTCTCTTGGATGTTATTTGGATACCAAGGGGCCACTAAGAGAAGTGCTATGAAAATTTCAGGCTCTCTGACATAAACTATTCTTGTCTCAATCAAAGACGTCCATATAAATGTCTGTGGAAGCTAAGCTGTTAATGAGCTAATTCTTTATAGAGTGATAAAACAATTGCTAAACATAACATAAAATTTGTTGAATTTCTAGCTGCAGTGAAACAACATCCCTTTAAATTGCATAAGGTGTTATATAATCTGTGTTTTAGCCAGAATGGGAATGGAGACAGGGTTTTTAGCCCTTACGTGACATTGATGTTAGGGTTCACATGCATCTTGTGTCCTACATGGGATTTCTTTGTTAAAGTGGCATTAAGAAGAAACATGGGCTTTCATCACGTAGGATAGAAGAAAGCTTGTGATGGGCTGTCTCTTCGCCATGGGGACTACCTGCTTCAAATGAGATTCATGACAAATCCCCCTACGAGAGGCCGGCCAGTATGCTAGGTAATAGCATGCGTGGCAGTACTTATCTATCTCCATTAAAGACACAGGTCATATCCCACAATGTCAAAACCATTAAATCAGAGAATATAGCATGATGGTAGGCTTAAACCGGGTGCTGAAGCAGCTGTGATTGAAGAAGGTGCTTTTAAATGATAGATTCTGTGCACTTTCTTCTTAAGATGAACTAAAACGCTGTAACAGGCTTTAATCAGGAAAAATGTTAGAAGAGAAATACATTTGCATTCTTGTCACCTGATATTGAGTTTTCACTGCAACTATTACTAGTCTGAGTGCCACTAGAGATCACTTCTGATGCTTTCACTCAGTTAGACCTACTAATATTAAATGCAATCACCTTGTCCTGCAATTGGGAGTTGCACCTTGATATGAAATCACTGTGATGTAACTGTGGCATACAATTTTCCATTTCAAGTTTATACTAAAAGAAAAGCTTATCTAACCTTTAAAAAGACTTGCACAGCACAATTGTGCTTAATTCTATATAATTTTGAGCTTCGGTGTGGACCCGTCAGTGAACACCAGCGCACATTTATCACGCACGATAAAATCAAAGCTCGGACAGTCAACTACTAGCCTCAGATTCATTTTAGCTTTCCATAACAGCGCAGGCAAGACTGATTCACTCTGAACTCCATAAGTCCTCCGAATGCATAAACTGACCCTCTCCGAGATTAATGTCTTCCTCAGTACCTGCAGGTCTGGACCGAACATCATCACTGTTTGTGTCTCGTCACAGACCAACCAACCAGATTTCGCCAGGTGCAGCTAATTAATGAAAAAGCACCAATGGAACCATTTGTAAGTCATTTCCAGAGCTCTTTTAACCAAGCCAACAAGCATAAAGCTGCAACTAATTTGTTATTATTATTATCGTTGAAAAATATGTCACTTATTTGTACTAAAAATCAAACAGCTTGTCAGATTTGTTTTGCCAAGTGTTTGAAAGGAAAAGGGGGAAAAAACAAAGGAGAAAAACGCTTAGATTGTGATAACCTGAAAGCATGCATGTTCCCGGGAAAATAGACTTAAGAGTTTAAAGCTGTCAACTAACTCTATCCAATTAATTGACTCATTAGTTCAGCCCCTAAGGAAACACGTCTGGTTCTTATCAAGGGAACAATAAAAGTGAAATGACACACACTCACACACACACACACACACACACACACACACACACACACACACACACACACACACACTCACACAGGGCGCACTCCAGTACATATGCCTCAAAGTGCCCTACTACATCCTAATATGGTGTAAATCTGTGTGGTTCTTTGCTGGAACGAAAATCTTTCACCGTTCTAACTTGATTTGAAAGTGAGGCAACAAACCCAGAGGAATAATCTGACAGCGCCAACCTCTAATGGCCCAATTCCCAGCTGAGAACTACGTCTCCTGGTGTTCGGTTTAAGAGCACTTTCTTGCAAAATTGTGGTCATTTTGAGATCACTCTGTGTTGACTTGCAGGTATCTGGAATAGTTAGGAGAGCTTGGTAATGTGTGATTTTATTTTTCTGCCCACAAGGCTGACTAAATGAGTTGAGTCATCCAACCAGGCTGTATTTTCTGACCTTTTACAGTTGGATCTTGGCTGATTAATTTAAGCAGATGGCTAAGCAGACTTAGACAGACTTTCTTTTGAATAAAGACATGCTTTTTTATGAAAAATATTCAAATCGTAACATGAATATGCAGGTTTGTGAAGTGAAATATAAATTGGGAGTTGCTACAAGGCATATGGTCATATCTGTCTTTTTCCAGTTATCCATTACCAGCCAGATCATGCCAAAATAAAGTGCTTTCATCACAGGTCAATATGGAGAGAAAAGCTGAGCAAACTGTTTTCCCATTCAGCATTTCTTACTGGCATCTTCTTTCATTTCTCTAATGAAGACCTCCAATGTGGATATTAATAATGAATAAAGGAGTTGGATACAGTGCTTTTTACTGTCTTTGTTAAGCAGGAAACCTGGTGCCAATTAAAATGGGCATGATGCTGCCTTGTGTTGCAGCCATCAGTGGGTATAATCATAATAGTTAACACTGTGGCAGCAGGACTGAGATTGACACATTTGTGTATAATGACAAAGAGACACTGAGACCCAACAACAAGCTGCTCTTCTCTTTGAAGACAGTGGACGGTTACCACAAAAAAAAAAAAAAAATCAATATTCCAGCTCCATTCAATTACACAGAGAGCAGGTACCTCAGTGACACTCACAGCAATGACTGATGTACTGCTGCTGATGGTCACTTTTAGAGGCTTTACTTGAAAAGAAAAAGAAGAAATTCTGCTATTTAAAGTTTGAAAATGTATATTTAAGGATATTTTGACTGATAGAGCCATTTAACGTTTTTCAGTATATGAACACATGTCACGTGGATATGTATCATGGTGTATTTCGTATAAATGCAAAGGTTAAGGCAAAGATACTATACACATCGATACCTGTAGTGGGAAAATGCACCTACACCAAAAGCATCCACGCACGGACGCTCACAAATAAGCACGTGCACGTAGGCATATCCGTTTTGCATAGCCGACCACACAGACTGAGGAAGAGCGCTAATTTATCATTCTCGTTCTTGAGTTATTGTTGATTAATTAAATGCCATTTTACGGGAAGATTTGAAATACAGTTGTGATCATACAGCCGTGCTAAAGGCTCAAGGAGGGGGCGACCGATGAACTCCTTCCAACTTCATTTCATCAGCTTTTTGCAATCAAAACCCGAACCGTGATTGTTTTACTTTGTTTCCCGGGCGAGGACAGGTGACATTGGTTAATTGGTGCTCTAATAGAAAAGACAAGTTTTTACTCACCCAAAGTTATAAGATGAAAGAGATAAACTCCCCACAGATCCATCTCCGTTTCAAATTTGAATTTCTGGTTATGCGTCGGAGCTACACCTACAGCAGGATAATTACACGGTAAGAATGAAGTGCCCCTTTATGCATTTGGAGATCATTATTTGCGCAAAGAGAATAACCTCTTGAAAAATCCTCAAATCGTCTTTTTCTAGTTGCCCCTGCCTTTTTTGTCTTACAATCCCATCAGTTACTTCCAAGTCGCTGTTAGAGTCGCGCTTTTGCGCAAAGGCAGAGCCATGCGTAATATTGTGAGGGGAAGTTGTCCTGTGCGTTGTACGGTCCGGTATTGTCAGAGAGCCTTCTGTTGCACGTCGAGGTGGTCACACAGGTCCTTGAGTCCGCTGCTGGAGAGATGCAGAGTGCTGGGGAGAACCACTGCCAACGACGGGGAGGAGGGGGGACTGTTTGTGTAGGAAGGGACATTTTAAACCGCATGCTTACGTGGTCAGTGCTTAGCGGTGAAAATGAGACGTTAATTCACAGAAACACTATAATGTTATGACTCAGAGGACCTACGGTCTGGCGAAAGTAGTTAACTGTGTCTTCACTTACTCTGTGATACTATTGAGCATCTCGTGTTTTCCTTACAGTTTCTGATTTTCTAACCCAAAAAATGCAGAATATTTCAAGCAGTTGACTCTATACTTTTAACGCTACCTGAATTCCATGAAACATTAAGAGATAAAGAGCTCCCTTTTTTATAATTCCTACTGTTCACTTCCCTGTCCTGTCTCATCACCTCAAGGTCTAACACCTGCCATTCAAATTGCTTATATAATAAAAAGTATGCGATTTTGCAGCCAGTTAATAAAGAAAGTGTTTGAGCTCCCCAAATGTTGAATGCATGTATTTTCTTGGGGGGGGAGGAGTTAAAGAAGCCGAACAAAAGGTTAATAACAATACCGACTCTCAAAAAAGGCACATTCGGGGCATTCTCAATCAGAAGTCTGTTTGATTAGGCGTCTTTGTACGAGCTCTAACAGTTGAAATATGCTAACCTAACATCATTATTAGAAGATACTGATGAGATAGCTAATATAGACACACACATAAGATAAATACGAGAGACACCATCTGATGGCTGAAGACAGAAAAATCATTTTTCTAATCACAGGACAACACCTGGATACCAGTGTGAAAGTCACATGTTTCAAACAATATTAATACACTGCAGTCATATCAAACTATAAAGTTTTCTCTTTTGTTTCACGGAAAACCTTTAATGCTTGCCCCCTACAGAGAGGTGGATGCAGTTCCCGATCAGTACTGACAGCCTGACCCACAGTGCTCAATTTTCAGAGCTGTTCACTGTTTTGAAACAGACAGTTATTGATTCTTTAGTGTTAAGAATTCAACTTTCGCACCATCTGTTCGTTTTATGGTTCAAAGGGAAGAGAACATCAGTGGACCAGGATGTGCATTTAGAGTTTGTTGACTGACCACTTTAGTGCATCTCCAAAACGGCAGCAACAAATAGAGTTTCCAGATGATCCATGCAAACAAAGCTGGTGAGGAGCAGATAACAAAAGAGTCACAGTATTGGGTCAGCCTCAGTGTGTATGCTTTACTGTATACTTGTGCACGTGTTTGTGTCTATAAAGCAACCAAGGGTCCAAAAGGATGATCCAGCTGTGTATGGAAGACAGAATGAAGACCTCGGAAGGGCCATTTCCGCCTGTTAGTATTATCTTTACTGCCTGTGGCTGCTGTGTTGTAGTGCTTCAATGGACTTACATGAGCCAGCAACATTCATTTAAACATTTTCAGAGCCTTAGTTGTTTCAACTTATTATTTTTTGCTGAAGTCTCACATTGGAAAAAGTGTAAAATGTCTTTATGGCTCAACGATTGTAATTTTAGTTCCCTAACAAGTTTGCAGTGAGAATCTCTGGAACGATACATTAACATTTCCATTGGGAGTCCTTAAACATGGGAAGATGGGCTCTGAAACTAATTTCTGAATCTTTAAAGAGCAGCTCAGTGCCATGGGGATTTCTTCATACATATTTGCAATGTGCATCTGCATTTGTAATTCAAATTAACATTAAATTTGGAAGAATGAAAAAGCCAAGTAAATGGAAGAATTAGAGAGAAAATGTCTGTTTTCTCATAACCCATTATTCTCCGGCTCCTTCCAAGTCTATCGTGGATTCAGAAAGGTCTATGTCATCCTAATCCCCTCCGCTAGGAGTTCTCTTGTAGATGGACCTGCCTGGTAAACATGATTATGTTGCCCTTTAGAGACTAAGTTACTGCCAGTAGATCCAGAATTTCTTACTTCTATAACGTTCAGTTTGGAGAGGAGGTGCCATTTAAAGGTGGGAGATGGACAGCTCTCAGTTTTTGCTTCAGGCGAAGGTTCATTGATTTCCTATCCTTGTGACACAGAGCAGTGAGGACAACATTAATGAGGGATTAGTTATTGTACCCATAATCACTAATGTCAAAATCACCAAACTGGGTGATGAAAAGAAGCTTTGTAAATATTTCTTGAAACCATTTAGCAGCCATATTCACTGCAGGCTGATTTCTGCTTGAAAAATCAAAGCATTTTATCCTCATTGTCTTTTACTTTAGTCTAGAGTGTCCTATTTGATGGATACTTTTATTTGTTTAGTTAATTGTTTTTCTGTGCCATACTTTGTAGTTTAATTTTATTGCTGATGACAGTACAACAGTGAGGCAGCATGTACAACAAAGGAAGAATACACCATACTGTCCCGAGGAGCATCTATCGTAATGCGAAACCAGGAGTTCAAAAAGTAAAAGAAAGGCCTACAGCTGATACAAAAAGAGGACTTGACAGTGTGAAAGAATTTTTTCACTACTCAAAGAATTTAGAGAGCTACATTAAAACGCTTTAGTTTAGCTCAGAGAGATGTCGTATTCATCCATTCTCTTCCACTTATTCATTACAGGGTCATGGGATGCAGCTGGAGCCCATCCCAGGTGCAATGGAGCAAGAAGTACATCCTGGACAGATCACCAGTCTGTCGCAGGGCTATCTAGTAGCCTAAAACTAAAATTTGGATAGAAGAGCAAGAGCTTGGTGCATGGATTTGTCTAGTGGTATATTGATGCAGACAACAGGTGAGGAAGACTCCTGACATAATGATTTTTGGGTAGGCACTAAAGGGATGGAATTGTGGATGCAGCCAGCAGCCGTAGACTTCCTCTGGAGATGTCTGACTTCTCTGTTGAAGTGGGGTGGAGAGCTTGATCATTCCAGGGGGAATTAGGGGTGCAAGTTAAGCTGCTTCAGGCATCTGATCAGGATGTGTCCTGGGCACTTCAGGCACGTGAACGTCTGGGTGTCTGTCCTGGATGAGTTGGAGGAGGTTGCCGGGGATTAGGATGGATGATTGATGGATTAGTTTTTCAAGCAGACAATTATGCCCATGTGAGGGTATGTGCTCTGTCTCTGTAACATATACAGCTGCTTGGAGATTGTTACCTTCATTAATGTTAGTTCCCCAAACACTATATTCCAATAAGGAAAGCATTTGAAATGACTTAAATGTGATTTATTGAGATAAAGAATTAATCATTGTGGTGTTTAGACTCCAGTGACAACTTATGGCAGAACAGAATCCCAGCAGTGACTGGATTAAGAACGGGACCCACCAGAGTGTAGATGCTGGTGGAGGTGAAGATGGAGATCTGAGTGACATGAATGTGGTAAAGGGGGTGAGTTGGGGGGTGGATAGCATCACACAAGAGTCTGACAGAGCACGCATCGTGGAGGATGACTGGCCCAGAAAAAAGGCTGACAAGAAGATGATGGGAATAGAGTAAAGATGTGAAAGCGTTTTTTGAAACAAGAGCAGCAGCCAAACAGGAAGCAGGCAGATCAGTGATCACACAGCTACCTTCTTGAACTTACACACAGGCTTCATTAGCTTAGCATGCCATTTACAGTAGTTCACACATGTGCGCTCTAAGTAGTCACCACAACAGCAACCTTTACCCCCCCCCCCCGGCCATACTAAGGATAAAGTAGCCAAGTGAATAGCCACAAGACAACGACTGAATTGAAACATTATATACACAATGCAATAATGTTTAAATAGTGACTTTGCTATTAATTACTGCCAGTTTGTTCTCAGTTATGTTGTACTAATCACTTCTCTTGTATACCTATTACCATAATATGAGATCAGACCTTTCTGTCCTTGAGAAGAAGCTTTAACTGCATTTTGTTCTCTGCTGTTGTAAACAAATGACACTCACTTGAACCTGTACCAGGGTGGATGATCCACCACAGCAAACAATGCTTTCAATTTAATTTTGTTACTTTGTTGCCCAAGTTGAAGATTTTTGTTCTCCTCTGCTGCCGATCATCTGACTTTTCCCAGCAGGAAAATGTGCTCAGCAAGAACTTACGCATTACTTTACCTTTTCTCTCGTACTCATTTCTAACATATTTGGGTTATTTACAGTTGTGATCAGAGGTTTACATCTTCCACGCAGCACCTTCACTGTCTGCAATGATAAGGATTAAGCCACAATCAATACATTAATTGGTGCTTGCTGATACAATAAAATAACAATATACAAATAAACAGCAACACCCATTAAAATTGTCATCAGCTATTCGCTGTCAAGTTAAACCAGTTTTAAAACAAATTACAACAGCCAGCAGTGTATAAGGACCTCGGCCCAACAGCCAGAAATCCACCCTGGCAAAGCAGCAGCTTGGCAAGCTGTAAATGAAAACAGGACATCAATTACACTGAAGAATTTACCTCAGAAGGAATATCTCTGCCACTTTGTCCGTTTTTCAGTTACCTGTGTCCAGGTAACTAAAGTAAGTATCGGTAATCAACATCCAAGAGGTGGGAGCCCACTACAAGTTTCCACAGGGGTGCAAATAACTTTAAACCTCTACCAAAACTCAAGCAGAATGGTTTCTGTGACCTACTGCTCCAACAGAAGGCTATGCAATCCACACCAAGCTATCATAGAAAAGTTAAAAAGGCCAAATAGCACAGCGTAGACCAGGTATTCACACAACTCCAGGTTCACACAAGAGATCAACAAATTACCTGCACCTGTGCTTATAAAAGGGAACAACCTAGCCCCGCCTACCAGGGGCGGTTCCCAGACTCAGGTCTCACCTGTCACATAAACATAAGTTCAAACTTCAGCACCCAAGTCTTCTTGGATTAATTAAAGATGCATACTGTGCAATCATTCCACCCTGGAAAAAGAACAGTTAGCATGGTATTCATGTTCATGACGAGCGTAAATAAACTGCATACAACAACATACAAACACAATAAATAACAACACATCGCTTGTTTTAAGGTGGACGGTGGGTTAGAACTGGAAGCAAAAGCTCATGTTTAGTGTTCAATAATGGGGGTGGCTTCTCTCTGCACCT